GTAATTTTCAAACAAAGTTTCCAAATGCTCCCAAATTATTAAGGTTGGGACACACATCATCAAGACGGAAACTGAGTGGGTTCTCAGAGATCAACACAGAGAACTCAAGAGACATTTTGGCTTTTGAACCTCGCTAGTTATGAAGTCTTTCAGTAATATTGACTATCTCCTGTTTTCTGGTGCAGATATATATTATCAATATGAGTGATATATCATTTGATTAAAAAATCGCAACAATGGGCACATGTTTATAGTAACCTAGACCAGATTCTCACTTACCTTGGATCCCTTAATTAAGAGTTGAAAGAAATATTTCATCAAGGACCATTTTTTTGGCATCTGTAAGAAAAAACATAAAAGTATTAGAAATATTTGTTAGTCACTCCCCTCCTATAACTTTCTTGGCAGTTTTAAATCTTATTTTTGTTGCCTAAGAATTTCCTGAAATAAAATTAAATATACATATATGTTTTCCCTGAATAATTCTGTCTGAAACTCAAAAAAATCTTTCAATCTACTATTCAAATCTATTATTTGCCCAAAAACCAATCAGAAAACACATCTTCTGGTACTTTTTTGTACTCATTGCCTCTCCCCATCTGATCTAGTTTCTTTCTTGATCTTTCAACATGCACATATTAGATCTATAATACCATTTGTTTTCCAATTATTTCCTCTACACAATTGCCTCTTTTTGTATTTTTTACTTCAAATTGTTTCTTTTGTTTGGTTTTCATCTCTTTATTCAGATCTCAACACTGGCCATTTCCTTAGTTCATCTACAAAAATCTCCTTCCATGATTTATTTATTTATTTATTTTTGGAGATGGAGCCTTGCTCTGTTACCCAGGCTGGAGTACCATAGAGTAATCTTGGCTCACAACAACCTCCACCTCTGGGGAATTCTCTTGCCTCAGCCTCCCGAGTGGCTGGGACTGCAGGCGCACACCACCATGCCTGGCTAATTTTTGTACTTTTAGTAGAGACGGGATTTTAAACATATTGGCCAGGCTGCTCTCGAACTCCTGACCATGTAATTCACCCATCTCAGCCTCCCAAAGTGCTGGGAGTACAGGCGTGAGCCACTGCGCCTGGCCTTCCTTTCATGATTTATTAACCTACTCTTGACAAAATTGATCTGTTACTCCAAGGAAAGCTGAAATAGTCAGCATCTGCCTGTAATTGTGAGAGACCTAATTCTGAAGGCCACAATTCAGGATCTTTCCAGAGTCTCATGCAGAGCTTCTTGCTACATCTCCCCAGTTTCCCCTCTGGCCCAGAGAAGATAGTTTCTGCACTGATCTTCTTCTTTTTCAAAGCTTTTCCTTATCACTAAACTCAATGAAACAGTCATCTGGCTTCAGAGACTTCCTCTGTTTCATGCAGAAAAGTGATTAAGTGATGTGTGCCTTAAAGATAATTTTATATCTCTCCTTTTATTTACAAAGTGTAAGAACAGTGATAGATGTTGTTTGTTATTGTTGCTTATGTGCTTATTTACATCCTTGGGCCTTTTATTTTCTCTCCTCAAACATCACGTGTTTACGTCGAGTAAACCAGGTACCTACCTTCCGGCAGTATTGTAACATAATATTTAATTTTTAATTTATGGAATATAAAAAGAATCTCCACCAAAATCTCGATCACTAGTTGACCTAATGGATACAATTAAAAAAAAAAAAAAAAAAAAAAAAGAAGCTAACTTGATCAATTATTTAACCATATCATTATTTTTACAGATAACTGAGGTATAGCATTTTAATAATTAATCAGGAAAGATACATATAATTTAATATCTATTTTGGAAAAAAGCTTTCATTTGGGTCTAAAGATCATTAAACAATAAAATGTTTAAATTGAATTGGCACAACACAAATACATATACATGCTTCAAAAGAGATGGGTGAATTTTTACAATACAGTGAAAAGAGGAACTGAACTAAGGAACAGATAATAAGTTTTTTAGTTAAAGAAAGTTATTTGGTTCCTATACCTAGAAATACCCTATAGCTCTATCTGTCATGAAGGCATTTCATCTCTTACTGACAAATCTCTAAGCAGCATGTTACATTCCCATCAAATTAAAGCAAAGACCGGAGCTTCATTGACTCAAGAGAGAATCTATACCTGGTCCAGGAACTGTCATTTGTGTCTTCTAGAGCATATTAAAAGAAAATAAAGATTCCAATGTGTAGACATTTCATAGATTTGTGGTTTTTGCTATAAGAGATGTAGATTGTATGAGTTTTGTGTTCATTGTTTAACATATGCTTTGGAACACTGCATTAATTCTGAATTTTAAAATCAGAAGACATGGCAATGGATAAAACATTTATATGCCTTTATATCATGAAGATATAGTTCCAGCTTTGTAATTTTGGTGACAAATAAGTAATAACTTTTTAAGTCAGTAAAAATATTTCATCTCTTTAGTCGATGTTTGTGAAACAGAATGATAGAGAGAGACAGAGAGATACAGAGAGAGAGAGAGAGAGAGAGAGAGACAGGGGCAGGGAGAGAGAGGGACTGTTGTGTTGCTGTATAACTTACTGTTTCATACATACCATCTGGGTTTCTCATAACTACCAATAGCTTCCATGGAAATTTACTTTATTGGTTAGTGATGTCAGACCACTGCAGTGTAACAGTTTTCACTCCCAAATTATTACATGACACGCTAGAATCTTCACTTGTAGATGTTATAGTTTAAGTCAGTATTGATTGTTCTATCCTTTTAAAGATCAATTTCTTTTTCAATTTTTATCACAGGCTCAGGCAGTACATGTGCAAATTTGTTACAAAAGTATATTGTGTGATGCTGAGGTTTAAAGTATAAACGAATCCGTCTCCTAGGTAGTGAGCACAGGTCATTTTTTAGTTCTTTCCTCTCTCATTCTCTCCCCACTCTTGTTTTCCCCAGTGTTTATTGTTCTCATCTTTATGTCCATGTATAATCAATGTTTAGCTCTCACTTATAAATAGAACATATAGTATTTGCTTTTCTGTTTCTGCATTAGTTTTTTGTTATAAATGTAATAATTATTAAAACTATACTGATATACCTGTAAACAATTTTTAAGTAATTAAAGGCTTACTCTCCCCACCACACAGGCTAAGAAAGAATTACTGTTAAAAGTTTGGTGAATATTTGTACAAACTTTATATAGCTAGTCACCAAGAGAACCAGAGACACAGACATAGAATGACTAGATAGTTTTAAGACATGCACACAACACACATTTGGGATATGAATAAGTTAACACTTCGGCCCATAACATGGACCATTTGAGGACGATATTAGGCCATTGTTGCTCACACACACAAAATGAATCCCAGATGAATTAACAATTTTAAAATAGTAACCCTAATAATACAATAAAAAGTTAATAGCAGCTAACATTTATTTTCTTCTAGATATTATTGTATTGTATATGTATTAACTCATTTAATATAAACCCATTATGTTTTAAGTGCAATTATCTTGATGCCATATTTAGTAGCGAAAATTAGGACATGTTAAGTAACTGGTCTAAGTTCGTATAGCTTATAGAGGATGAAAGAATGGATTTAAGAGTGATTAAGAAGAAAGGATTTAAGAATGATGACACCACAGAAAATTTGGTTCCCCTAGTTTTTGGCCCAAGGGAGAGCTTCTATGATGGCTTGCATTTCCCTTTTTGCAACATTCGTAACACTTACAGATATTTTACTATATCAGGTCAGCACCTATTGTACATATGGTCCAAACTCTGACACTCAGAACAATTTCTAACTTATTTTTGATCCCTAATAGTGAGTGAATGATTTTCTTAGTCCCCCACCCCCTGCGCCAAAATTGACTTTCTAACTTGCCAATCAAACATTCACCAGTATCTGTTCAGCTATTTATGATTACTCTTATTTTTTTACTTTAAATAATGTCTTCTTTTTCTCTCATTATTTTTTTTCATAGCAATATGATTTTTCTTCACATATGAATCAGACTTAGGAATCTTACTAATAAAATATTTACTTCATGTTAAAACTACTTTCCTTTCTTAAAATCCTTTTCGCTCTAATAACTTAAAACTTTTCCCATCACATTTGTTGGTATGTGAGCAAATGTTACATGATGTAGTGGGTTCAGTATTTGTAGCCTGTGGAGTACACCTGGGGATTGTGAAACTCACTGAATGGACTTCTGGACGATTCCAAATCCTGCCTCACCATCCCTTAGCGTAAACTTAGTGAGATAGGGAGCTCTGGTGATCTGAGGGAAGACTTCATCCTTTAAGAGGCAGACAGTTGGTAATGGAGATCATGTTGACTTCCTTTGCTTCCATAACAAAGCCATAAGATTCAGGGCATGTGGGTGCATCCAGTGTGGCATGTACTGCCAACTTCATAAATACTGATTATTTCCCAACAGCATCACAAGAGTTGATGTTCCAGTCATGTCATCTGGGGGAGGGTACTCTGATGAAATTCCAGAAGTCCTTTGTGCTGTATGTTCTCTTGTCCCTAATTCACCTCTTCATCAGCCTCTGCCAGTGAGGTCTCTGGATAACTGTGCCTTAGAGCTACAATTGCCTGTGGGAAACAGAAAAGGGTTATCATTGAAGGAGCAGGTGTTCTTGTTCTGTTTTTGTTTTCTCAGTTTCTCTATTTGGTATCCATTCCACAAGACCAACTGTATTAACTATGTTTTCTTAATTTCTATATTCTTTATGCTCTGGCATTTGGGAGCCTCAGACCCATTATAGACGCAGGGAGAGGCTGCCCCTTCCAGGGCTAGCTTATTCTTAAATATAGCAATTTTCCTACAAGCATGCCTTTCATATGCCAGCCAACCACTCTCTTTATCTCACCCTCACACACCAAGCCAATGTTCTTCTGGTCTAAATCATCCCAAGCCTAGGTCAGACAACTAAGGACAGCCGCTATCCCCCAGAGCCCACCAGAATTACTGAATCTAGCCAATCCTAACCCATGCACCTTGTCCTGTCCTGCCTTTTCCACAGGAACCCCAATACAGACTCCGACTAAGGCTTCTCTTTTATTCTTGCCTTCTGTCTCTGGACCATCTTGTGTCCCTGTGAAGCACGGGATGTACCCTTCCTTTGTGAAATGTAAGTAGTAAGTTCTTCTCTTAATAGAATTGGCCTCTTCATCTTGTCACTCAGTCCTACTTCTATAAATTAACACCTGGGTGTAATTTTAGAATGGTTGTATTGTGTGGCTTCCTCAGAACACTTTGCAGGGTATATTTGCTTGCTTCTAGCAACATAATACAGTCCTCCGCATTTTATTGATTTGGAATATTCAACATTGTGTTGTGGTCCTGGTATGACTGGGGCTGGACTGGCTTTTCCTAAAACTTGCTATCTAATAAAGATTGCTGTTTTGGAGGAGAGTTATATACACTAAGTCTGTAACTAATTCAAATACAATATATCTAATGTCAAATTTTGCGCAGAAAGCTACTTCCTTAGGGTGTCCCTGGCTGTCTCCAGGGTTGCAGCATATGTGAGTTCCTCATCTGGACATTCTTATACTGTCTTCTTGGAAGGAAACCCAGTCTCCCAGCCACTTCTCTCTTAGCTGGTCTCCCTCACTTCTCCCAACGAGTTAGTCTCTGCTTCTCACCTCAATAGCCATCCCTGATGTGGAGAGCCTGGGCATCAATCTCAAATGTAACAATTACCAGCCCTGACAGCAGTTAGCACAATAAAGTACAAGTAGAGACTGGTACTAAATTGGTGAAGGAGAAGCAAGATCGGGAGGAGACATGTATGGGCCTGTGGTTCTTCAGGAAATGTAGCTGAACTTAGTTTCAGGGTGAAAGGAAACTGGTAGTCAATGTGAGGAAGAAATTTAGGCTAAGATTAGAAATTTGAGCAAATCAGTGTTTAAGTTAATATTTTTAAATAAGTCTCATTATTTTGAGTTCCCTAGTCCCTAGGATTGCAAAAATTTTTCGAAAGCATGAAATAGAATAGCTTGGGTTGGCCATGGTGGCTCACGCTTGTAATCGCAGCACTTTGGGAGGCCAAAATGGGTGGATCTCTTGAGTCCAGGAGTTCTAGACCAGTCTGGGCAACATGTCGAAACCACGTCTCTAAAAAAAATACCAACAGTAGCAGAGTGTGGTGGTCTGTGCTTGTAGTCCCAGCTACCAGGAAAACTGAGTGGGGAGGATCACCCAAGCCTGGGGGACATAGAGGTTACAGGGATCCCTGATGGTGTCACTGCACTCCTGCCTGGGTAAGAGACTGAGACCCTGTCTCAAAAAAAAAAAAAAAAAAAGAGAGAGAGAGAGAATAGCTTGGACTGTATTTTTTTAATGTTAAGAAAGCACATTTTCCTTGTTTTATTGTCTCTGAGGTTTATCATCATTGAAGGACCTACTGAGACTCTGTTAAATGCATATTTGATTGAGCAGCACTGAATTTAAAAATCAGGAAAAATCTCCCTTCACTAAGAAATATCTTGTTGTCTGAGCAAAGTCAATTATGGTGTATCATTCTAATTTATTTTTTACCAAGTTTATTTTTGTTTCCTTTTGGTGTTAATTATGCTTCTGATCCATCCCTTTTATTTACATTTATATTTAAAATCAATGTTGTATATCATTTTAAATTGCATGTTTTACAACATCTGGTTTAATTACGCTTTCTCTCTTATTACCGTCTTTGCTGCAGCTGTTTCTCATTCACTGCTTGCTACCAGAAGTTTATTTTGCCTTATTTCTCAATTTCATCTACATGATGTATGCAAGATTTTTTTTTTCACATTAGAGAAACTATTGTTTATTTATTTCATTTTTATAATAACTAACTAATTGTGCCACAAGAAACACAGTGTTGACAAACACCCACAGGGACAAACCAACAGTGTGTGAACTCCACACAGAGCATAGCTTTGCATGTTCAGTTCCAGAGTCTGAATTTGGCTGAGTTTCCAGCTTGAGTGACATCTCCAGAAGCAGGACTCAGGGAATAGAAGGTTTAAAACTGTGGGCACAAGAGATAGTGAAAATCTTCCTCATCTAACATTTCCCAGTATCCCTCAAGGAGACCCATAATAGCATTGAGAAATACTTTGGAAACTGACAGACATAGAGGTTTCCATCTTTAGAGGAATAATTTTTTATTTTGCTCAGTTGGCAATCTAATGCTTAAGAAGAAGCAAAGAAGTCGAAGAGCAGGTTATTATCTCTTCCAGCTCCAATAAGATACAGTGTTTAAATCTTAATACAAAGTTCAGTTTTAAACCTATGATAACTAATATGATTTTGAGATATACATAGATCACATGACCTACCACTACACTGATACATCTAAAATTAATTAAATAAGGCACTGAGCAATACTTTCATATTTTAACTGTATATGAGAAACATATACAACAGAAGAATATTCATAAAATTGAAGCAATTGATTCTTAATAGTATAAGAACAGTTTAAAAGCAGTTTCATATATTTTAAACCACCAGATATCCATGACAACACTAAAGTAATTACTAATATACCAAGTAAATGAGAAAGCTAAAATTCACAAAATATAATAGACTTGCTTCAGTTACAAATATATTAAAGAACAGAAGTGGGACTGGAATTTGAGTCTTTTAACTTCAATTTTAGGTTTCTTTTCTCCTACAATATATATAAAAACAAGCAAATAAACAAACAAAAAACAGGTCAGGTGCGATGGCTCACGTCTGTAATCCCAGCACTTTGGGAGGCCAAGGTGGGTGGATCACTTGAGGTCAGGAGTTCAAGACCAGCCCGACCAACAGGGTGAAATCCCGTCTCTACTAAAAACACAAAAATTAGCCACATGTGGTGGCACATGCCTGTAATCCCAGGTACTGGAGAGGCCAAGGCAGGAGAATTACTTGAACCTGGGAGGCAGAGGCTGCAGTGAGCTGAGATTGCACCATTGCACTCCAGCATGGGTGAAGAAGCGAGACATTGTCTCAAAACAAACAAGCAAACAACAAATTTCACCAGTCTAAGGTTCAGAAGATTGAGGTTATAACTTCACTCACACTCTGCATTCACATCGTCATTCACAACATACTTGAACGATGGATTGTTATTTTGCCTCTTTGGAATTTGGATCCAGAGATTTGGATGTAAGGTAAGGAATACAGGGTCGAAAATATCTCAACTTCTCTCTCTCTCTGTGTCTCTACCACACACACACACACACAAACTGTATTGAGTTATGCATTAACATAAATAAGCTCCAGTGTTTTCTTTTTCAACAGTAATAGAAAATAATCTAACAATATTAATATGTTGCAAAAAACTCCATAGGGCCATGAGGACCATATACATTTAATATTTGTGGTAAAATAGCAAATACTATAATTCTGTGATAATCAAAATTCCAAAAATACATTTACTTCACCTTACCTGCCATACAGATGAATAGATTAAACCATTTATTTTATTTCAAAAAATCGTAACTTCAAGAAGAGGGAAATATTTAACTGGAGATAATGAAATTTTCAAACTGGATATATTTTATTCACTTATTTTATACCAAGCCAGTAAGTGTTCAACCTTTAATAATAACTGTTGTAGAAACAGAGTTCTCAAATGCATTTTCAATTGGGATTATTTTGGTTAAAGTAATTGATTTTTTTATAGTCAACACTTTTTGTTGCCGTGCCTTTGTGCTGCTAGAGTTTTAACATGGATTTCAATATGAGAACAAAGCTTAGAGAAAGATGGTTTTAATCGTCAGCTTATCGATGAGAAGGATGTTGAAGAAAAATAAAGCTACTCTCCTAGTATATAAATATATATCTACATAGGGGTATATATATATGTGTGTGTGTGTGTGTTTGGATGGTTAGTATATTAGAAACAATACATCCATTTATTTATCTTCACAAGTATAGAAATCCAGTTAGAATAGCAAATCATTCCACTTTAGACAGTTTGAAATTCATTTTATCACTCATATAGGACCATATCTTGAGGTTTATGTTTATGAATTCTGAAGATAAATAATTCCTCTTATAAAAGTAAGAAGGGGAGTAAAAGAAATTTGTCTCATAACATAATGGTAAAATAGAACTAGAAAAATTTTACTTGAATACTTACAATAATTGTTAGGGTAATTCCTTCCCAAAAGAGCTATTAATCAAATACACAATGACAAAATTGGTATTGCTTTAAAATTCTTTTGAAAATATTAAAATAAATTTTTATATCATAACCAAATGGCAAAATGTAAGAAGAAGTCAGATTTTTTTGAGCCCAATTTCACTGAACTAAATACATATTTCATTTTTATGTGAAATACTGGGATGATGAACATTTTAACAATTTTAGGTATGAAAGTACTAAGAAATCTTGGTAATAAATTCCATTAAAAATTTAGGGCAAGTTTAAAGGTACAATTTATAAAAGCATCATATTCGATATTATGATTTTGTGGCTGTAGAGTAGAAATGTGCCAAATGTTTATAAATAAAAATCAGATCATTTTACATTCTATTAATATTTGACATGGGGTTATTAAAGGTTTCCATTGTTTTTAGTTCCCCTGGTTGCAAGTAGTCAAATGCTCTTGAATTAGAGCAGTTTTCAATAGAAACAAAAATTATTGTATTGATGGCCTATTTTCTTTTTTGTTTCATTTTATTTACACTCAACAAAAAATTCCGGTAGGTAGTGAACCGCAGGTCTGTTATATAGTCTCTTAGGACATTAACATTGATTAAGTGATAATATTCATGTTGATGTTTCTGAAATAAAAGCAAAATGATGGGGTGAAATTTACTAAACAGAGACAAATGTGTTAAAATCATTTGCAATCTTACCTCTTTTTGTTTTTTTTTTTTTTACAGTTTCTCTGTTATTATTTTTAACTCTTTGCCTTTATGCAAACACATTGTTTACAAATTATGCTCTAAACACAGGAGATAATGAAGTTATTTTGTTTTTGTGTGATTTTTTGGGGTAGTTAATAGAACTAATGCAGGATAGACTCCAAGTAGGACTAAAATCTGAACCTGGTAGGAATATACAATATTCAAGAAATTATCTTTGAGAGACAGACCTTCAGTTTAGCCATTTTAGCATAGAGATAATACCTAAAAGCCAAGCGTCTTCATCCAAGCTGCTATGACAAAATACCTTCTCCTGGGTAGTTTATAAACAACAGAAATCCATTTCTCACCATTCTGGGGACTCAAAAGTCTAAGACCAAGGTGTAGGCACATTTGGTGTCTCGCAAAGACCCCCGTTCTTGCTGCATCTTCACATGGTGGAAGGCAAACAAATTCCATTGGGTCTCTATTACAAGGGCACTAATCTCACTCCTGAGGACTCAACCTTCATGACCTCATCACTTCCCAAAGGCCACAGTTCTTAATACTATCACAATGGGGATTAGGATTAGGTTTCAACATAATAGTGTAAGGGGCATACAAACATTCAGACCATTGCAAGCAGCATAAATGAATGAGGCAACTGCACTGCTGTTAGATGTAGGTGTTTTGGGCTCTGATCTCTGATTAGAGCTTCCTCAACCACTTTCATATAATTTCCATTAGAAAATGATCTTGACCTTCTGGTCGTGATAATAAGCTCAGAAAAGTTCAAGAACATAGTATTAGTCATGAATCATTCAACAACCTCAGGAAAGGTCCATTAATGAGTCTGAATTGACTGGGACTAAAACCTTTATTCCCTTTACCTTGAGCTGATTGGAAGAATAAGAAACTATTTTTAATAAATAATTGCTTTTGAGATATAAGACAGGCTTATTACAATGACACTGATGGTCCCTCATAGGACAGGCTCAGAATTTCATCAGTAAATATACTGTTAAAAACACACATGCTGGATTATTTTTCCAGACCAGTAGTGTGTACACAATAGGCTGCATGGGAAATGGGTCTGCCTAACTAACTGCAGTACTGGAGCTGATTGTGTAGGAGTTGTGGATGGGGTTGGTCCATGATTGAAAAAACTGAGCAAGGGAGCCCCCCAAAGCCTTCATTGTGATGAGGGTCACCTCTTGAAACAGAATAAAATAAGAGTATAGCAATAGATCAAAAACCAGATGATAGGAAATCAAAAGTAAGAGAGTTGTTGAGGATTACAGCATTCAGCTGCTGGGAGTGAGGGAAAAGACAAACTGAACATGTTGCTGAGATTCTAGCTTACTAAACTTAATAAAAGGGAATGTCTTGAACCAAAATTACGTGGTAAGAAGTGCTCTTTAAGAGACGTTGATGAGGATGAGCTTACTTTCTGAGCATATAAAATAGAACATTTTCCTCTAAATCAGTCAGGATACCACGGTTAAACACATGCTGTATTCACATTGAGAATCTTGCGGAAAATTTAATGTTCAGACTACTTACAATGTGTCGGAATGTTTAGAGAAGCCACAGAGAATAGCGCAGTACTTGGAGGAATGTAGGATGGGTTAGGGCAATATTCAGAAAACAGAAATAAAGATTGTCTTATTATTATTATTATTATTTTTGTCTGGCCTTGAAGTTAATTGTCAGTACTAAGTACTCAGAGGAAGAAGGCACACAAAAAGATTTAAAAGTGATATGTGCATGCATGTGTGTGTGTATGGGTGTGGATGCGCATGTGTGCATGTGTGTGTGTTCCCTATGTCCTGGGGCAGAATTTAAAATATCATGCCTTTGCTATGATTTAAATGTTTTTCACCTCCAAAACTTAGGCTGAAATTTAGTTGCCATTGTTACAGCAGTAAGCGGAAGGATCTTTAAGAGGTGATTAGGCCATGCATGCTCCACCCTCATGAATGGGTTAATGCAGTTATCATGGGACTGGATTCATTATAAAAGCAAAAGCTTGGGCCACCTTTTTTCCTTCCCTCATTCTATCTTGCTCTTCCTCCACAGGAAGACACAGCAACAAGGTACCATCTAGGAAGCAGAAAGCATCCCTCACAAGGCACTGAACCTGCTGACTCCTTGGTTTTGGACTTCCAAGCCTCTAGAACCACGAAGAAGAAATTTGTATTGTTTTTAAATTACCTAGACTCAAGTATTCTGTTATAGCAGCAAAAATAGACTAAGAAACCCTCTAAAAAAAAAAAAAAAAAAAAAGATTCTTAGAAATTAGCTGCTCCAGACATACTTGTGTGTGTGTGTGTGTGTGTGTGTGTGCGTGTCCATGTGTGAGGCTGTGTGTGTGTGTGTGTGTGTGTGTTTGGGGAAATACAAAGGTTTGAAGTTCTAGATTTTTAACTTACAGTATAAAATGTATGGCTTACTCCTCAGAACATTTTTCTGTATTTTAATTGACTGTTTAACTTGTATATTTCCTCAATACGAACACATTCTTTGTTATATTTCCTGTGTGTCTCATAGTTCCTAGAATACATTTGTCTATGTTGAGATAATTAATGAATTAATTAAATACACGTTTATGAAGAAGATTGACCATGAGGACAAATGTGTACATACTATTAAGTAGCATGTACAAATAAAATGGTAGACTTTTAGATTAATCAACATCATTTATCACTAAATTTACCAACATAGCTAAAGTTTAATTTTACCCAATTTTGTCAAACTCAGTTTATAAACAAGAAATTGGCATGCATTTTATTGAATTATCTAAAGATTTATCTTTAACTCCTAGGCATCACCCCAGTACCAACAATATGAAATTTGAAGCTTTCGTTTTTTTGAACACTTTGTAATAAAATCTAAATTTCTCCCTCAAAAATTACTGACTTGGTTATATTTCCACCCCAAAGTGCACACTTCTGTTTCAACCACTGATCTATCTTTGTCATCTTTTAAAGTAAATATCCTTGCTTTGTGTCCTCTAATGATAACCAAGAAGCAGTAATATGTAAATAGCTATAGACATTATCTCAGGTGAAACAAATATGTGAAAGCCGTCATGCATGGATTGAACACAAACGAACCTTATACACCACTCTAGGTAATTTTTCCTGCAGGATTAGCAGAGAGACATAATGCAGGAAAATATCAGTAAAGAGGTTCAAGAACACTTTAGGGTGATCTCTTATCAACCAGTTCTTTACCATTTTACGAGAACACACTCCATTCTCATCTATAATAGAACAACTATTATGGATTATAATTTGAGTGTTTCTTTTGGAATATAAATGAACTGATTCCTACCCTACTGAAATTGAATGTCGTTTTCCTCTTCTCGTAGGGTGAATGTACATATGCAGCAGTTAAACAAGTCTGAAGAAAATATTTCAAGATTCTAGTCCAGGTGACATTTGTCGATGGCCTGCTAGCCTTTCATCATACGTAGCAGTGGAGCCTCTTCGTGATGTGGATCACAGATGAGGAGAACTAAGACAGTGCACTATGTGCAAGAATTCAGACCACAGGAAATCATGCCATCTGGAACTGCTAAATGGCCAGCAGAAACTTCACAGAGAAGCAAGGTAATACCTTAAAGAAAAAAGAAAAAAGAAACCCACAACTTCAGTAAAATTACACTTTTTAAACACTAAATAAGTATAAGGTGTAGATTATGCCTATGCTCATGATTATGCAGTAGGTAGGTCAAGTTTCTAGAAAATATGTATGAGAAAAAATATTTGCCTCCAAAAACCTGAAGGCTTTAAGTCTTTTTTTTTTTTTTTTTTTTTTGAGACGGAGTCTCGCTCTGTCTCCCACGCTGGGGTGCAGTGGCGACATCTCGGCTCACTGCAAGCTCCGCCTCCCAGGTTCATGCCATTCGCCTGCCTCAGCCTCCCGAATAGCTGGGACTACAGGCGCCCGCCACCACGCCCGGCTAATTTTTTGTATTTTTATTAGAGACAGGGTTTCACCGTGTTAGCCAGGATGGTCTCAATCTCCTGACCTCGTGATCCACCCACGTCAGCCTCCCAAAGTGCTGGGATTACAGGGGTGAGCCACCGCCCCTGGCCTAAGTCATTTTAATTATAACAAAATCTTATCCATATATATAGAAAGGTGATTATTATTGTGATAATTTCATTGTTTTGACTTTAAGGATGTAATGATAAAAATTTTATGATTTGAATTGATTATGTATAAGTTATGAGCCACATACTCTAGAGATATTTTCCCTAGTTTTTAAAACATCTTTGAAAGGTAGCGTTTATTGTCACTGTATTACCAATGAGAATGTAGATCTAACATCTAGATCCAAAAGTTTGCTCGACAACAAATACAAATAACTGACAGAACAATAATTCAAACTTTGAAAAGGAACTTGCTTCCAAAAGTTTAAGTTGTATCACAATACATTATACAATCTTCATTTTTCAATATCAGATATAAATATGTCATGTATATTTTTGTCTAAATTATGTTGTATTATTTGCTTCACAAGTTCTTGTTGCCATCTGGATCATTAACATAACAGAAAACATAAGACATTTGCACAAGCAAATTATAATAGTTTTGAATTGATTTGCAGATTCAGTGATATGCTTTGGATCACCATGTAAAATAAGTCCGATGCCACCAAAAAGCAAGAGAGAAATGGAACACTAAGCTGGAATTTTCACAGGAAATTATAATTATAATCTTAAAAAACCACTGAGTACTTTTCCTTGTTCTACTGAAATATATTAACTCTAAATAAACAAACCAAACCGAATGAGACAAGAGTAAATTCTGTGATACAGATATACTACTTTATTTCCATTTGTTTATTTATTCCTGTATCTATTTTTTATTTTTATAGATGTAAGGGGTACAAGTGCAGTTGTCTTACATGGATATATTGCATACTGGTGAAGTCTGGGCTTTTAGTGTTGATTCCTATTTAAATTAAGTGTATATATTAATGATGGCACCAAAGCTCTAAGACTCAGATGTAATACAACTGGCTTTTATTTATGCCATATCACCACCATCGTTATCATTCATGCAAAGCATTGACATTAAGACAGATTCAGCAACAGCAAGACAAAGAACACAATCATTTTGCCAGTGTCACATATTAATCACATATGGTGATACTGATTGCATAGTTGATGCTCAATTGGTAAGGCGCAGTAAAGCAGCTATTTAGAAGATGGAGTAAAATGGGAACACTAAAGACAGAGTGGAGGGATTGGTGGAAATACGCCCTGAAATACAACTTAAAGTAATGCCACACATCCCCAGCCTGCCAGAAAACTGCAGATAGAAAGGACCTGGGTGATTATCAGATTAAGGTGACGTCAACAAAAGCTCTCAAGGCAATTTTGTGTTTTGCAGTCTTTAGCTATGAAAGAAAGAGTGCTGAGAACCCATTCTTTTTGGCTGTAACTGCACAGATAGGTGGGACTCATTGTCAAAGGAAAGTGGCTATTTTATTCTCACCACAGCCAATGGAGAAAAGAATGAGACTGTGCATGGGACAAAGCCTCATAATGGAAGTTGTTCCCATCCTGATCGATCACTGTGACAAACTGTAGCGCTGGTTAACCATATCGATTTATGTCACCCACCTCCCCTACTCTAAGATGGGAGATGGTAGTGAGGGTAGTGGGTCCCAGTTCTGATAATGTGTCCGCTTGATCTATATTTTTTAAGTCCTGAAAAATGATTTTAATAAAGATCTAGGTTTCAAGAACACTAATTTATTCTACTTCTACTTTCCCCTAATGCCCATCACTTTACACATCTGATATATTGATATTTCAGATCAATGGAGGCCAATTTTGCCCAGAGAAGACTCTAATAAAGAAAAAATAGAGAGAAATAGAAAAATTGCATTATATACCTAGCAACAATTACAGTAGTGAAGCTGTGTTTCTTTGGCATCATAGACAATTTTTTTTTTTTTAAATTATCTATCACCCCATATAAACTGTCCATCTTCCATGCCTTGTTTTCCTATTTAAAAAATCTCTTTTATTTCTAGTATCCTTTTCTTATATCAAGCAATTTGGTCTTAGTTTCCAGGAAACCACGTGCACACATGCACACACACAAACACACACAAAAGCATACACCCATTATGGAACATTCAGATAATCTACAATCAATCCTACTAATCAAAACTCAATCTTATGGATTTTTGGAAATCCATGAGAGAATGTAAGTAAGAAAATGTCTAAGGTACTTATTAAGCTCACATAAACAAATGGAACAGAAACTAATGTGACAGATCAGATACTGGTTTGGGATGAGGTAAACCGGATAATATATACTTGACCTGGATTATTCTTGATTCACTATCATGCTTCGTGAAACAAAACGTGGCCTATGGTTCTACCTAAGGCAGCAGATAGTCTGGGCATAAAAGAAAACATGCTACCAAAGAGAATTGCTGGAGGAGACGCTCAACATCACAAGGACTTGAAGATGATGAGACATTATCCTCCCTGATGGTAAGCCTAAATCAATGTTTCACATACCCCTTCATAACAATACATTGCCTCAGCATTTTCCTTATTTCTGGTTGTCCCATGTTTTCCTAAGATCCTAAGTACCACATAATACATATTGTTTGTTACCTCCAATTACTATAATATGTTAATTTTACTTCTAAAAAGTTTGAAAGCAATAACCCCACCACCGTCACTAAGAAGCTCCACAAAACAAAACAAAAAATAAAAACCCTGAACCAATTTCCGGATATTGCGTAATCTCTATTCTGTATCAAAAAATATATCAGCTAGTTAACCAACTGTTTTGACAAATTTGTACACAAAAATGTTGGATAAAACAGTGAACCTATCTATCTGTATAAACTGAATCTGGAACGTAGCTACTATCTATTGTCCCTCTAAAATGCAGGAGCAATAATAAAACCCAACTCCTTGGGCTTCTGAAAGGAACAAATCAATCAGTTCAAACATGGCCTACAAAAATCATAGCCATCATACATAACATTATAGTTCACATGATTTGTGTTGAAGGTAATTATTTCATGTTATAATTACTTTAGGTCTTACTTACATTTTATTAAGACTAATTAATCTATTTCTTCCATTTATCTATTACTTACACAAATACCAGTTGAATGTGCCCTGTATTTCAATGTTCTAAACACTGGAAATTTTACAGTGACTAAGGTAAAGACCCCACCCTCATGAAGATTACGCTCTAATTAGGGATAAGAGATACACATTCCCAAGAAACTAAATATGTGTATTTTCTCAAGAATGATGCACATTTTTAAGAAAATAAGACAGGACAAAGGCAGAGGAAATCAGGGTTTCTTGCTAGGTAGGGTGATCTGGAAAGGGATGTTTGATGATTTGACATTTTGGAAGAATCCTGAATATATTGAGGGAACATTGCACATGTCTCATAGAGATGGTTTCAGTGAAATCAGCAAATGCAAAGGCTGAGTCTGTTACATTCTTGACGTATCTGAGAAGAAAATGAGCCAGTAAGGAGGAGTAAGCAGAGGTCAAGAGGCAAGACATGATACTGCAGTTACACTACAGCCCAATCACGTAGAACTTTGAAGAAAGTTGTAAAAAGTCTGGAGATGCATATAGTAATTTCTTTAAATGTTTCTCTTTCTTCTAAAGACATAAATTGGAGGCTATATCTGTTTTCAAATTAGTATATGCAGAATGTTAACTAATTAGAGTTAAAAGCATTTCAAATAATAGAATAAAAAAGTGATAAAACACATTTGATAATGTACTATATATTTAGAACAGATGAAATGAAGCTAATTTAAAAATATAATATGCACAGTAAGTTATAATTTTAAAGAGACTAACAGTATATAAATGATTAACATTTTTATTAAAATGACATAGAACATTTAATTTTCCTTTTAATTCAATTTCATTTAATTCACATTTACTAGAGCATTCTTTGTACTCGTCACTGAGTAAGGCAAAATAATAACACTTATGTCAGTTTTTTTGAAAGAAAGTAACTTAAAACATAGAGGTGCAGGCAATGACACAACTATATACCCCATTCAGAGACAGCACAGCTCATACAACTCATATCTTCCAAGATGCTCTTTCTCACCTACAAAAGTTGATCCTCAAATATTCAGCTTAAAGTTCTGTAGCAGTACACATGATGTGAGAATTAGAGGGTGTGCAACGCAGATTATGCCATTTCCTGAACTTCCTGAAGTTCATGCAATGAGTATAGTGATGCTTTCAACTGGGGTTTTGAGACTGAATTTATCTTGCTTGCAGATGATTTTTGATCTGAAAGGAAATGTAATGATTCATATAATCACGAATTCTTTATATTTTTGTTGTATAGATATATATTCATTGACATACATTTTATGTATGCATATATACATATATATGCATGTGTGTGTGTGTATAATTAAGGGCATTTTATTGTATATGTATATATATTCATGGCAGATTCTCTGCCCATATTTTCATTTTCCAGAATTTCCAAAAGCAGTATCTCTTTCGCTCTGTCAAGGAGATTTTTCTTACTAACAGAACCCTCAATCTTGTACATGGGGCAGACTAGAAGTACCAGGGAACTAATGTCCTCAGCCAGTGTTGGACAGAAGCACTGAAGTGGTTCATTTCCTTGAGCTTTCTGTTCCTGATTTTGAGGCCTGTGTTTTATGCTGATTCCCAGAATTCCTAGGCAGAAGCAAGCTATAGAATTCCACAACTGCGACTTGCTTTATAGTTGAAGCTGTGTTTTCCTTTCATCCCTTACCTGTTTAAACTCCAAATTCCCCTAGCAGTGATTCCTGTGTTCACTGCCTGAATAAACTACTCACACTTAATTCCTTGTCTTAGTATCTGCTTTAGGGTGAACTCTATCTGAGACAAATGACATATAATATAAAATGCCTGTAAGATTTAAAATTCTGTGTCAACACTGTGTGACAGAAATCACACTCACCAGCTATGCACATGTTGCCTGGTATTTTCCAGTCTCCCTTGCTGTTGCATTAAAACTGTAAACATTCTTCAGGCCAAAGGAGTATGAGTGGTAGTAATTCGTGTTTCTGTTTCAGGCCAACGCAGTTCAGAGCCAGTCAGCTCCTTTCACTTTTCTCTTTCACTGTCACATCAACTTTGGAAAACAAATGTTCCACATGGCATAAAGGGGAGCCACTTGCCTATCTGAATATTTTATTATTGAGAGATACATGATTTTTCAGTGTTGGACCACCGAGGTTTTAAAATTCATTTTACACTAACACAGCCTAACATCATTATGACCATTCCAAAACTGGGTAGCAAAATGTTGCTGTCTGATGAAAAAAATTCCCCATACGTGGGATTACCTTTGTTGTTCAGGGATGAGAAATAAGAAAAATTAAAATTCTTTCCAATCCCAACTCCACTTCAGCTTTTAGTAGGTGTGTTGTGGTATGCAAGTGAGTTTACTGCCTTAATTTATAAAACATGACTACCTACATTTACAAAGCATGTATATATAGTACTGTACTGATTTCAACAGCCATTTGAAAATTCAATGAGACAATTCACGTAGCGTTCTTGGTATAGTTTTGGATATATGTAGTATTTTCTATAGATATTAGTTATTAGGATAACTTTTTGTGTATATGTGTACCTGTAATAGATACACATGCCTAATGTGTTTATGTACTTATTCTGTGAGTTGTTCGTATCCCATCATTTTATATTTCTCTCATCAACATATTCAAATTATAGATATTCCACCAACATAAAACCTCTACCCCAC